GATTTGGGGAGGAGTCTATGATTTGGGGAGGGGTCTCATGGATTTGGGGAGGGGTCTCTATGATTTGGGGAGGGGTCCTGACGCCCCCCGTGCCCCCAGCGCTGGAGGCGGCGCGGATCTGCGCTAACAAGTTCATGGTGAAGAGCTGTGGCAAGGACGGGTTCCACATCCGCGTGCGCCTGCACCCCTTCCACGTCATCCGCATCAACAAAATGTTATCCTGCGCCGGCGCCGACAGGTGGGACCCCGAAAACATCGGGGGGACCCCAAAAACATCATGGGGAGCCCAAAAACATCATGGGGACCCCAAAACACACGGGGGGAGCCCAATAACATCATGGGGAGCCCAAAACACACGGGGGGAGCCCAAAAATACACGGGGGGACCCCAAAACACACGGGGGGAGCCCAAAACACACGGGGAGAGCCCAAAACACCCGGGGGGAGCCCAAAAATACACGGGGGGAGCCCAAAAACACCATGGGGACCCCAAAAACATCATGGGGAGCCCAAAAACATCATGGGGAGCCCAAAAACATCATGGGGAGCCCAAAAACACACGGGGGGACCCCAGAAACATCATGGGGAGCCCAAAAATACCCAGGGAGAGCCCAAAAATACCCGGGGGGACCCCAAAACACACGGGGGGACCCCAAAAACACCCGGGGGGACCCGAAAACACACAGGGGGAGCCCATTTGGGAGGGGTCTGGGGGCGTCAGGGAGGGGTTAAACCAAAAATACCCAGGGAGAGCCCAAAAATACCCGGGGGGACCCCAAAACACACGGGGGGACCCCAAAAACACCCGGGGGGACCCCAAAACACCCGGGGGGACCCCAAAACATCATGGGGAGCCCAAAAACACCATGGGGAGCCCAAAAATACCCGGAGGGAGCCCAAAAAACATCGGGGGGAGCCCAAAATCAACGAGTGGGACCCCGAAATCCTCAAAATCCTTTCTCAGGGGGTCCCCAAAACCCTCAGGGGATCCCCAAAACCCTCAGGGGGTCCCCAAAACCCTCAGGGGGTCCCAAAGTTCCCGGGGGGGTCCCAAAACCCTCAGGGAGTTCCCAAAATTTCAAGGGAAAAGTCCCCAGGAATTGGGGGTGTCCTAAAATCTGGGGGGAGGGTGGGTTTGGAGATCCCCCCGTTAATTCTGAGGGTGTAATTAATGAATGAATTAATTAATCCCCGCAGTTAATTAAGCCGGCCGTGACCCCTCCCCCCGTGGGGTCCCGGCGTGCGATGGCTGCGCACAGAGACCCCTCCCCCCCCCGGCTGTGTAGGGCCCCCACCCCCCCCTGGTGGGGCACCCAAAGGGGCCGGGGGGACAA